CATTTCTATTTCGAGATACGCTGTGTGCAGTGTGGATTTGGTGGCTTTGTAGCCGTATTCGCTGGACATCTGTAGGGTAGACCAGCGACAAAATGGATAAAAGTACCATCTTACATCGACAAATTATATAGCCCTTAAGTATTTCTTTATGCCGTTGCTATTTCGAGATACTCTGTATGCAGTGTGAGTTTGGTGCCGCTGTAGCCGTTATTCGCTGGACATCTGTAGGGTAGATCAGCGACAAAATGGATAAAAGTATCATTTTACGTCGACAAATTATATAGTCCTTAAGTATTTCTCTATGCCATTTCTATTTCGAGATACGCTGTGTGCAGTGTGGATTTGGTGGCTTTGTAGCCGTATTCGCTGGACATCTGTAGGGTAGACCAGCGACAAAATGGATAAAAGTACCATCTTACATCGACAAATTATATAGCCCTTAAGTATTTCTTTATGCCGTTGCTATTTCGAGATACTCTGTATGCAGTGTGAGTTTGGTGCCCCTGTAGCCGTTATTCGCTAGGCTAGGAAATGTGTCTGGCATTTTAGAAAGTTTAATTATTGTTTTTCCTTGTCGCTTTAAAACGTCATAAACAAGGACAAAAAACAATTAATAAGAAAATTAGGAATATCAGAATGTAAATAATCGGATTATTTTCGCATTTTAGCGAGTCAGTTATAATTAGTTTTTTTAAATCTCGAACTGAAAGTAACTAGGGTGCGTATTTAAAAGTCAGATTGCGAAAAAATGGTTCCGGCTTGGCTTAAATAAACTCAAAGAAATGGGATAATTATAAGGATATCTGGACAGCTGTGGGTTCAACTACGACAAAGTGGGTAAAAACCCCAGCGACAAATTATAGCACTTACAGTATTTCCCTATGCTATTTCTATTTCGAGATACATTCTTTCTATGCAACGGAACTTGGCTGCTCTGTAACCTTATTCGCTGGAAAGCAATAGGTTGAACTGTGACAAAGTGGGTAGAAACCTTAGCGACAAATTATAGCCCTTACAGTATTCCTCTACTCTATTTCTATTTGGAGATATGTTGTATGTAGTGGCAGCTCTGTAGCTGTGTTTGCTGGACAGTTGTAAGTTAAACTGTGACAAAGTAGGTACAAGTCTCATCGACAAATTATAGCTGTTACAGTATTTCTCTACGCTGTTTCTATTTCGAGATACGCTCTATACAATGCCAGTTTAGCTTCTCTGGACAGCTGTACATTAAACTGCGACAAAGTAGGTAGAAGTCTCAACGACAAATTATAGCCCTTACAGTATTCCTCTACGCTATTTCTATTTCGAGATATTTGCAATGGCAGTTTGGCTGATTTGTAACTGTGTTCGCTGGATAGCTGTAGGTTAAACTGTGACAATATGGGTAGAAGTCTCAGCGACAAATTATAGCCCTTACAGTATTTCTTTACGTCATTTCTTTATAGAGATACGCTGAGCGCAGTGCCAGTTAAGCTGCTCTGTAGCCGTATTTGCTGGACAGCTGTAGGATAGATAGCTGGCGACAAATAATAGCTCTTACAGTATTTCTTTCCGTCAAGTCTATTTCGAGATACGCTCTGCGCAGTGCCAGCTTGTCAACTGTATAGCCGCAATCGCTGGACAGCTGAAAATGGGTAAACGTATATCATCTTTCCCCGACAAATTAAAATCCACAGTTTAGATACGTTATATGCAGCGTGAGTTTGGTGGCTTTGTAGCCGTATTCGCTGGATATTTGTAGGGTAGACCAGCGACAAAATGGATAAAAGTACCATCTTACATCGACAAATTATATAGCCCTTAAGTATTTCTTTATGCCGTTTCTATTTCGAGATACTCTGTATGCAGTGTGAGTTTGGTGCCCCTGTAGCCGTTATTCGCTGGACATCTGAGGGTAGATCAACGACAAAATGGATAAAAGTATCATTTTACGTCGACAAATTATATAGTCCTTAAGTATTTCTCTATGCCATTTCTATTTCGGGATACGCTGTGTGCAGTGTGGATTTGGTGGCTTTGTAGCCGTATTCGCTGGACATTTGTAGGGTAGACCAGCGACAAAATGGATAAGAGTACCATCTTATATCGACAAATTATATAGCCCTTAAGTATTTCTTTATGCCATTTCTTTTTCGAGATACGCTCTGTGCAGTGCCAGCTTGTCAGCTGTAAAGCCGTTATCGCTGGACAGTTGCAGTATAGACTTAGCGACAAAATAGACAAAAATACCATTTTTCGCACTTATAACTTTATCATTTAAGTTTATAATGTCATAATAGATGTACATGCTTTTTGCAAGGACTGTAATGATGCGGATGATTTAGATTACTTTAAGTGATAACACCATTTGTTATGTTTTTGTAACTTCATTCGTAATTATTACCAAACAGCGTTTTAATTATGTTTACCAAGATGATCCACGATTATCATTTAGAAATAATATTCTTATCAACAATCGTATATCCATTTGTTTATGCCTTTTTTTTTCTTTTGTTTCAGCAAATTCTTCGTATTCTTCTGGCCCTTAATAACAAGTGACAAGTATCTCTGATAATAATTGTTCACGATTTTTCGGCAAAGTTTAATTTCGATTAAGTCTCCGATTTCGGATTTCGTTTGTTTAAATTTTTTTCGTGCTACGATCGCGTAGTTGATGTCTTGATCGGTTCCCTACATGACAAACGGACGCAGTGGCGGCGGCTCTGGCATGGCGTCGTTCATGACCAAGAAGAAGAAGTATCGGTTCCAGGTGGAAGTGCTGGTTGAGGAACTGCTCGAAGTGCCTTTTGTTTCGGCGGTTCTCTTCGCTAAACTCAGACTGCTCGACGGCGGGAACTTCCAAACTCATACGAAAAGGTAGGACGAAGTTACTTTTCCGACGAGAAAAATTTGTCGCTCTTGTCGTTTTGAAATCGTTTAGATACTTCAATTTTGATGTAAAATCTACAAAATCAAGGTTTTTACATAAGTGGGGGTCTGGTACTTTATTTGGTATCTTATACCTCAATATACATTAATTGTATCTTGATGAGGTTTTCACTTTTATTTAGAAAATCTGGCGGTATTGGGATCCGTCAAATGGGAGGAGCCTAAAAACATGGCGCCGATTAGGGAAAATTTATCGTAGTTCCTATAGTGTACCGTGCAATTTCCAAGTTTTTAAATTACGATAAAATGATAAGTATTGACACAATATGTGATTGGGCTGACACAAAGCCTCGGAAAGGAAATTTCGTTGAAGGTGAGCGTGTTTTTAATGCCAATCACATTATAAAATTCGGAAATAACAAATCCGGAAGCTAGCCTTCAAATTCCGTCAAGTTTACTGCCTACTTTTTACAAACTTCGGATTTAAAAAGTGATTCACGTTATATAATTGGTGAGGTGATTCTGGGTGATTTAAGCAATATCATATCAATGACTTGCACGTGCAAAGCCGATTTAAGAGAACGTTGCAAACACATTATTGCAACTTTGTTGTATTGCAGCAGGTAGGTTCTTAACCTCAAAATACTTATATCGTATCATTAGAATTGTGTTAAATCAATTACACAGGAATAAATAATTTCTCACTTTATAATTTTAGTATGATTCTAGTTTTAAATATTAAGGTTATGGCTGATGGTAAATACTTGCTGAAATATAATCATGTGCATTAAAATGACGTGAACAAATTTTTATTCCGGAATTCACTTCTTTGATACCTACTGCTTTCATCCAAGCTTCTATTAGTTTACTTTTTTCTCTAATTTTCCGAATATATTTTTTACATATATAAAACGGTTAGTTTTTATTGGAAAGTAGTTAATGTAGGTGAAGAGTGAAGATCTATGTCTGAAGTGCTATTGCAGCTTTTCACTGAACATATTAACTTTTTATTTGATTTAACTTTAGAAGAAAACTTCGTCGACTCCATCATCAAAAAAATTTTTACTTTTTTAACGTGTTTTATTATTTTAATAAACAATTTTACAATTTGCGTGCACAGTTCCTATGTAAATTTTTCCCTCATTCGAGTTATAAATTTTGCCACCAGATGGTGTATGCCCATTTGACGGATCCCAATAGTTTCTCAAAGTGTTGATCTTAACGGAGCTATTGAAACTCGATATAGAACATTATATACAGACTACAGATATTTACAAATGAATTATTAACTATGAAATAACGGATTACAACTAAAGGTACAACTAAGAAAATATGAAATGAACATAAAGGACAACGTAACTAACTCTAAATTATATAGCAAAATTAATAATTGTTCTGGTGCCACCACCAATACCTGGTATGCAACAAAAGAATACGAGCCAGAAGTCAATAAGGGGAAACCCCAACAAGGCATGACTCTGCCTCGAGCTATGAAATTCCTGTAACCTGCATACAATTGAAGAGCATCGATAATAAAATTGACAAAGGTGGTTGTCATCGAAGTCCTTCGCAGAATCTGACCATTGGGACCAAATCGGTCTATTATTGTTTGCAAAAGAACATTCAAGAGATATTTGACTAGCTTGTACGCATTTGAAATTATGGAAATTTCTAATATAATGAAATAAAATAGATTAAATAATGAATATCTCTAACGGTTAAAAAAAAATATTAAAATTAAACGGAAACAATAGTTATTTTTTTGCCCATATCCCATAAACTGCTCAATAACAGACATTGGTGGATTTTCATTGCTACAAAGAAAAATTTGGATGAGTTTAGAAGATCACAATTAGAACAGGGTCGGACTCTGGGTTACTGGAGTTACAACAGAGTGATTCGCGTGTTTTTTAAAACTTGAAAGAAGATGTACAGATCCATATTTAATTTGTTATTTGCGAACCAACAAGTACACAGCAATTTAATTATGCATTTATAATTTCATAGTTATTTACATTCTAACGATGTCATTTCGCTAATGACTGTTCACCTTTTATTTTCTGTGCTTAATCACACGCCAACGGGTGTTTTATATTAAGTTTCTCGCCATCTCTAATGGGTACCGTTGTTAAAAAGTGAGGACTAATTAGATTTCCAACAATAAGGCTTCTTAAATCAAGGTTATTTGTACGTAATCAATCAAAAAACACAAAAAAGAACTGTCGAAATTATTGTCATCAAAATGTGAAGCAGAAATTTTGTAGGTGTATATAAAAAAACCGTTGAAATTGCTTTTATTACTGAGTAGAGACAGTTTTTTTATTTATTTAACCTAACAATTCTTTTGAATGTTGATTAGTTGGGGCTTTTAACGCTCTTTTATTAATCAATGATCATCCCGTCCAGCAAAAGGCGATTTGTACGTATCTAGATGCACTACATGATCAAACCGAATTATTCTCGCTTCGCTTAGGAAAAATTACTTATTATTCGGGAAAGTTCTCGAATCCTGTAGATGTAGGGTATTCAGGAAGAACCTGTAACATTCTGGTGAGAGATTGGAACTCAATTAACACCTTTATTGAGTTTATGGAATCCTTTTAACCCTTATATCTTTCAAACCAATCCATGCAGCTTTTTCTTCATCGACGGAGTATGCAAAGCTATTGTACCATATAACCTTCATAAGGTTACGGGATTCGGTCGAGGAACTTTTGGGCCTCTACGGGCAAACTACACTTACTTTTATTACATATATTGATATTATAGTAGTGGGTCTCTAAAAGACATAATTATCTAATTTTTTGGCAATTCTGTAACGCTGCAGTCGTCTATGAGAAAAGCTTTCAGTTTGTGTAGCACTTCTATTTTCGTTTCGGTTGGTGGATGAAATTGTTTATAATGCGCCAAAAAGGGTTTTAAGAACGATGCGTGTTGCGTGGGCATTGAGGGTGTGATTATATCATTACGTTACATTTTCTGCAATTATTTCGTTGAGTAGGTAGACACTAGATTAACCAGTACCATTTAGAGGTTTGTATTTCGAAATTAGAAAACGGAACCGTTAACGATAGGAATATATTCCTTTCTTCGGTCTGTCTACTCATTAACTGATGATCAAAACTTTGGCAGAAAAAAAAAAGATTTCATAGCACAAACGAAGAAAAGGTCAGAAAATCATTAATTTCTAATTCTATTTTGAATTATGACGTGACGAACGTCTTTAGTCATCAAAAGTAAATATGGTTCAAAGTGTGTATTACAGTGTGTTCAAGATTGATCATGAACATTCTGTATAAAGATATGTTACTGTAGTATTGTGTAAGCTGTCGCTGAAATGTACTTATTTCTGTCATTTTGAACTAAATTTTTAATTCGTCGCGTTCTTTGTCTTTGCAAAAAAAAAAATAAATTAAACGTTCAGCGATAAAGCAAGCTCATAAATTCTGGCACAATGGATCTCTGTTATTTGTATAAATGTACAAAGAGTACAACATAATTACTGTAAGATTGTATGCATGTATGAATGTATATTGAGGTTTTACGGTGGTCTGTTTTATGTACGTGCTAGGGTTTGTATGACTGGCTTTGCATTCTTTTAAAATGCCTGTTTTGTGTTATTAAAATGAGGACGAATTTACAGATATATGTACACGTGTCGTCTACGCAAAAATGCTAAACAACAGATGCTGCACGGAAATATTTATCTGTTCTTCGCAGAATGCTAGAACGTAATTTTCTTAATCGCTTTGCGTTTGTTTAATTCCAACTTCAAATAAGTTTTCAAATAAACACGAATGCTGAGGGCGCCATTAAACGAAAGTGAGTTTTAAGAGAGATTATAAAATTTATAAGCGTTTTTTTTTTGGTGTGGTCTAGCGGCTAGATCATTGTGATAAAGTGGCACCCTTTGGAGCGACAGCGACGTCGAGAATTGTACGTCGATGACACATATAAGATTGCAGTGCAAAAGAATTACGAGAATGTTCGAGAAGTGTGTTCCGGAAGAACTCGAGAACATTCTGTAGTAACATAGTGATAACTGGGAAACAATCGAGTCAGTCGATTATAACAACCGATAAATAAACAATTATATTATAAACAACTGCTATAGTGTAAATTGAACAACCGTGTAATTTACTTGCATTAGACGCTAGAAAGGTTATTATTTAATGACTGGTTTAAAAGTTTCGAGTTATTTAGCGTGGGCCGTACCATAACACGGGATTCAAGGAAGTCCAAAAATTACTAGAAGTAATAATTTTTGACGTGATAATTTTATTTTGAGCAAAGGTGATGCTAGAATTATATTTATGACCATTGCTATGTGACAACAGGATTCGTTTTATTATGCGTAAAAATAAATAATTTCTTTTTATCCATTACTTAGTACTAATTTAAATTAATTTTTCTAATTCTGTAGCAATAAGTTGCAAAAATTTTAACGTTGTATTTGTTAAAAGATAACAGAACGTCACATAAAACCGTTTATCGCATTATTTAATCGCATAAACGAATGAATCAGAAGTTTTCCGACAAAATGGTATTAAAAGAGCAAATAAAGCGGTTTATGATCTAGATTTTTATTCAGATAATAACGTACTGAATTTTGCCAACAGTCTGAAAACGACTGAAAAGTTAATAACATTTTTATCGATTACATATTTGAAAATACTAAACCTCACCTCGATATTTATCACTGTTTAACAAAATTGTATTAATACATATGTGATATTAGACTAACTTTAAATTTAAATTAGTTTATATCGTATTATATGATATTTTTAATAGCAAAACCTTGAATTGATTAACATACAGCAAGTTTTTGGTGTTGTTTTGTTCGTGGGGTTACACAGCGATACGAAGCAAACGAGTTTCAAACTGTAAATCCACAAGATTTAACAGACAATGGGATTGCTGAGGATATGAAACTTGAGTTGCGTGAAGTTAGAGTGACTCTTTTAGCCGACGAAGAAAATTAAACAGAA